TGTGCCTTTTTTTTTTTTTTTAAATTTACAGCAATTGCTTCTTTTATTTAAAAAAGTTTCTTTAAAAACCAAGGTAACAAAATTTCTAATTTTTACAGGACCTGTTATCAGATTTTGCTATAAAACATATCAGCACTATAACAAAATATTACGTTGTTGTTTTTGTTTAGATTCATAGCAATCCTATACAGGGCTTCCGAAGCTTTGCGCGAGCAAAAGCCTAATCTTTCTCCTTTGGAGAGGCTGGTGGGCTTGAACCACCAATCTTGTGGTTTGCAGTCCAGTGCTATTTGTATTGAAGCACCGTGCTCCTACAACATATTGTAACACCCCCAGGAAAGTCTTTCTCATGTCTTAAAAACTATTTATATGAATATCTCTTGAATATGTATTTTAACATAGATTCAAGGAGAACAAGATAAAAAATATTTAAGTGTATATATTTTTATTTTTCACATATGGAAAAAAATCAGGAGTTAAAAATATATCTTTAAAAACTTTTGCCACTGTACAATGCTGATTATGAGAGGACAAGAGCTATAGGAAACTGACGGAACATAAATGTCTTAAAACACCACTCAACAATTCTAATCAAAAACTTTCTCTAAAACAGATAAGGAAATGTTCATTACACAATTCTCCTTCATTCTCACTGGAATATCAACTACTTACACTCTGATCTAGGGGTCCTGGTGTGGTGCTACAGGATAAGCACTGTATTGCTAGCCTCAAGTTCAGGGGTTCAAACTACCAGCCTTTCCTCAGAAACCCTATACAGGGTCCCTCTGAGCCGGCACCCACTAGACAGCACTTAACAACAATATACTCTGATCTAAAATAGAGTATGTCTAGTAAGTACTGTACAGAATATAAATCTGTACAGTACTTTAAATGAACATTATATGCTTGCTTAAGCTATTCTGGCCCATGGCCCTCCAATATCTAATAATTGAAATACCATCAAATTACTGAAAACAACATCTTTATCACACTTGTATACTATCAAGAAAAAAATTAATACTATCAAAATATAAACAACAACATAAAGATGGTAACCAAAAGGTTAAAGGTTCCAGTCTACATAGAGGCACCTGGTTGAAGAAAGGCCTGATAATCTACTTCTGAAAAATCAGCCACTGCAAACCCTGATACACATAGGGTCGGTCATCATGAGTCAGAAATGACTTGATGGCAACTAGTGCTGGTAAGACCACCCTAGGTAGACCTTACACAAAATTATACCGGAACTAAAGAATACTGGATTTATTAGGCATAGGAAAGAAAAGATATAAGAGCAATCACCACATCTCTGAAAAAATCCTATTTTATTTTGCAGAATTTTACCGTATTTCATTCATTTTTCCTCCCAGAATGTAGTACAGATATCTATTTCCTCACCAAAGAGGAATTAAATCTGTCACATACTGTGACAAGCTTTTAAGAATCATATTCAAAATCAAAATAGAATTCTGATTAAATAACTATACATGAAAGTGAGAAGTATTTGGTTTCCTAGATCTCAGACAATATGCACTCATATATTCTAAAATGTATGAATACAGAATTCCATTTTTAATAAATTACTAAGCTTAAGCTATACAACCACCATAAAGCTAATACTCTCACCTAACCACCACTGAATTAAAAAAAAAAAAAAAACTATCACATATCAAACATGAAGGTGAAAATAAAAAATAAGTCAGACTTAGACTTGTCTGACAAAATCCAAAATGCCTCGACTAAAGACACTAAATATTCATAATTAATGCTCAGGAGCAAGGAGTAAGCCTTATGGTTTCTCTTCTGTCTCATATTTTGTTTTTAAGTGCTGTGAAGTTGGTTCCAACTCACAGAGAGCCTGTGTAGGATTTCTGAGGAGCAAATGGTGAGCTTGAACTGCCATAAAAGAGCACCTAAGTGATATGTAAGAAGCTCTGGTAGCGTAGTGGTTACGAATTGGGCTGCGAACCACAAGGTCAGCAGTTTGAAACTACCAGCGGGGTTCCGCGGGAGAAAGATGAGGCTTTCTGCTCCCGTAAAGATTTACAGCCTTGGAAACCCTGTACAGGGTCGCTATGGGTTGGAACCGACTCCACGGCACATAATCAACCAACGAACCAAGTGATATGTCGTAGCATAGTGGTTACGAACCGGGCTGCGAACCTCAAGGTCAGCAGTTCGAAACTACCAGCTGTTCCACGGGAGAAAGGTAAGGCTTTCTGCACCCATAAAGATTTACAGCCTCGGAATCCCTGTACAGGGTCGCTGAGTCGGTTCCGACTCCATGGCACATCACCACCACCACCACCACCACCACCACCACCAAAGTGTTATGGATGGCATTGTGGGTTAACGCGCTAGACTGCAATGTCAGTCCTTGAACTGCAAGGTTGGTGTTTCAAGCTCACCAGTTGCTCCCTGGAAATCTCATACAAGGTTGCCATGGGTCATAAATGACTGTACGGCACTTAACAACAACAAGTAATATGTATAGCTTATGGTCAAAAAAGACAAGCTGGTTAGTGGACACTATTCAACAAGGAACTCAGTATGACTCTTAAAAGACACAATATACCTATTCTCTTAGGCAATTTAATATATGCATTTATGAATGTACTATCTTCCAATGAAAAGAATATGAAATCACTTAAACACCCACAAGTTGTTGGATATTTTAAGCACCAAGCATACAGAAGACTGTACTCAAAGTAAGAAACAACTTTTCCCAGTTTCCTAGAAAGACTTGGGTTTGCTTTTTTCCTTACTTATACAAAGAAACTCATACTCTTAAAAGAACTCAAAAATCGAAGTAGCTGACAATCACCACAGGTCATTACAAAAGAAATCAGAGATTTCTTATTTATTATTCACAAACAATCCCAAAGTTTTGCTATTTCACTAATCAATCACTAAATTTGATGCATTTCATGGACTACATGAAATCTGGTATGAAATCTGGCATATTCAGTCAGAAGAAAATAAAAAACTAGTGAAACTTTCTATTTCATACGAAGATTTAATTTCCTCTAAAATAATTCTCAGTGGCTTTGTGGAAGTATCTGTAGGTTAAACATGTAAAGCATTATTTCTTCAGCAGCTATAACACTAGACAATTACTCTATGGGCATTCAACAGGTTTAACTGGGTTCTCAAGATTTACGTACATACTCTAGTTTTAAATTAATGCTGTTGTTGTTATGTGCCACTGAGTCAGTTCTAACTCACAGAGACTGTACAAGATTTCTGAGGCTGTAAATCTTTGCGAGAACAGAAAGCTTCACCTTTTTTCCTCAGAAAGGCTACTGGGCTCAAACCGCTGACCCTGTGGTTCACAGTCCAGTGCTTATCCTACATAGACACCTCAAGCTCTTTAAATTGATGTATTTGTTTTTAATGCTTCACAGTGGGAAATATCAGAATACACTCTGCAAGTTAAGTGATTTTTTTCCAAGAGCAAATTTAACTTGACCTCCCTAAATGGCTACAGATTTAACACATCATTTAGAAGGCTGAAAAAATATACTTTGATTTACATGTTCTCTAAAATAGTAGTGTCCAATAGAAATACAATGTAAGTCACTTACAAAATTTAAAAATTTCTACTAATCACATTTTAAAAGGCCACAGAAAGTAAAATGAATTTTAATAACATTTTATATAGCCTAATAAATCCAAAATATTATTTCAACAAATAACAAATATTTTCAGATATTAATGAAGTATTTTAACATTTTTTAAAATCATACTAAATCCTCAAAATCCATTGTACATTTTACACTTGCAGCACATCTCAATTTGCACTAGCCACAATTCAAGTGTTCAGTAACCATGTGTGACCAATGGCTATGTTATTGGGCAATGCAGCACTTAAGTAATAGTTTGGGGTCTGACATACCACTATCTTTTTAAAATGAGTTTACATGCATGTTTCCTTTTGAACTAAAATGGTGTGATTAAGTACTATGGGCAAAACTGTTAATTCACTGGACAAATGAGATCACATCACCTTATCTGAGGATCCAGTTAACACATACAATAAGAACCAAACAGATTATCCCCTATTGTATCTCAAATAGGCTTCAGCAATAGGCCTGATCATCACAAGTAGAACACAACTTACAGCAAAAACAAAGATAAGTCACTAAAATATTTTTGTCTCAAATCATTAACACCACCTCATTTCTAAGCACTCATTCTCATGCTTGAGCACTTATCTCTGTGCAAACAAGAAAATCTCTAAATTGCATGAATCTGGGAATCCATAACATAGAACTATGTAAGAGGAATAGAAAATTGTTTACTTATCGACTACTTTTAATACATTTTATATCAGCCAATACTCTTATTCTCCTTAAATTCCACTGTCCCCAAAATCCTGATTCAATTCACTGACAGCTTTTCATACACATATTTCAATTACCAAAATCACTAAGAATTTTTCCAAGTAATTAGGACATTTGCTTAAGATGTAAGTAATTCCGATAATGCATTCTCCAGAAAACAACTAAATCCATTAGCTTAACACATAAAATTTGTCCTTAAGGCAAGTCACTGAATAAATCAGAAACAACCATACTCTTGTTTACTGCATTTACATTTTGTAACACATTCAGCAATTTCTATGTTTGGATGGTCAGTTCAGATTGCACACAAGCAGTAACTTTAAAGCTTAACAAAATTTTGTAAGTTTTTGCAATATACTTCAGAATATAACACACTCTACAGAAATCCGACAGAACAAAAATCAATGCCATTCTTGCTAACCTGAGTAAAGAGCACACAATTAGTATATTTTAAGTCAAACATACATGATACATGAAAAGCAGTATTTTCTTTCTCCCAAATTAACTTAAATCACCTTAGACAATTTTTGTTTAATCTCTTGCAAAGCTGAAAGGCAGCAAATGTTGCCTCTTTTACCCACATATATCCAGGGATGAAACACTGATCTCAACAATTTTCTACAATTTGAAATCAAAACAACAAAATATGTTTCTTACCTGCAGTTAGGAGGAGGATCAAGGGTGATTTCTGCTAGTTCCTTCTGAATTCTGTTAGTGAAATGAGAACAGACAAAAAGCATTTGGGATAGTCTGACATAGAACAACCAGGGAATCACACTGCCCTCTACCACCATGCAGTTAAATGCAAGGCTGGCTTTGCCTTCAGTAATGCTAACATGGCTGCTTCCTCTTTGTTCTCAAAGGCATAACCCAAATCCCTCAACAGAAACTTTGCAGCTTTTCTCCTCACTTGCTACTGCAAATAAACAAGACATTTACACCTGATTTTGGAAACAGTCCTCCACTAGGGCTCAGTAAAGGATATAAAATCTATTTTAAAATACTTTTTACCAAAGAAATTCTCTTTTCAAGCTTATATGCAAATGAGTCAAGAAGGGAGGAGGGAAAGCACTAGAATATTTGACAATGACTTCAAGTCACTTTTACTGAGGTTAAGAATTTACAAGCTACTGCAAGAACACAAGAATAGTTTTGACAATATTTTATCTGTTAAAAAAAAGTTTAAAATTTACAAATATCCATATCAGTGAGAACTTACAAAGGACTCTTTGGCATTCTTATTTAATCTCATGTTTTTCCTGATCTGAAGTAGAGCATTTAAGTTTAATAAACTGGGCATGGGGTGGTATTAAGATATACAGCTTTGCATTAGGAAAAAAAGCATTTCTCTAATTTTATTCTAATGTAAAATGCTTTGAAAACTTAAAAATTTGTTTAATGTTATTCAACAAGATTACAACAAATTGAGAAAGGTTCTAAATTATTTCAAAGACTGGTGCTATATTTAATAAAAACTTTCTCAAGTTATTAATGCTTGGTTATTATATAATAGTTGTGAAAATATATAGGAAAAATACTTGTGTTTCATAATCAGTACAGAATGCAATATTTGATCAGTTTATTTTCTCTGCCTTTTAGTTATGATCAATAAAAACCTACACAATGTCAATACTAATTCAATAGATACATCTGATGTATCTCTGATCATTTAATTGCTAGAGTTCATGGATATTCCACAACTACCACTACTGATGGAATCTCATTGATGGGTTCTTTTTTTTTTGTTTCCATCAAAGATAATATATATCAACAGGAAACAAATGATATTTCACTTATACCCAACAAAATATGCTTCGCCTGCTGTTGAGTATTAACATGTCAAGCTCATCCACGAGTTTTAAAGTAAAGAGTTGCACAAGGACAATGAAAGTTTTCAACAGCCAAGTGACACCTAAAACTGTCAAGTCTGCTTTGCAGATTTATTTGCCATCACAGGGACACAGAGAGGCAATCGAAATTCAAAGTATACCTGAGATGCATGACTTAATGCCTTGCTTAAAACTGAGAACAGTTTGTAGCACAATTTAAAAACTGCTTCCACATATAGCCAAGGCCTTGAAATTACAAATTTTCTAGCAAATGTGATCATTTGTGATCACTAAAATTTCATAGAGAGATACTGCTAGTCTTCAGAAGTGTCAGTTTCAATGAAAAAGAGTAGGACTCAAAAGAAACACTCCCCCATTATACCTTCTATTTGGGCTCACCACCAACTTCTCAATCTGTCAGAACATTAGCCCTATCTTTATTCAGGGACACTCTTGTTGAAGTTAACAAAGTATAGAATAAGTTTGCTTAAAACTGCAATTCTAGGGAGGGGGGTTATATATTACCTAAAAAATAACAACTCATTCAAGCACAAATTAAACCGATCATCAAGTAAATATTTCTGACCCACTGCTACTGATGTAAAACCAGAAAAAGTGTCCAACCATTTGGAACACAACTTGAAAGTGTGTTTTTCAACATCTTACCTTTTAGCACTAGTGGATAACTTAGCAGTGGTTTTGCTAGACAGTTTGGTGTTTTTCTTCTGCTGAGTGGCAGACGGTTTTCTTTCTTCTTGTTCTTCAGGCTCTGGAGCGGCTGGGTCTCGCTGGTCTGCATCTGAACTCCCACTGCTGGTGCTGGGACTCTCATCATCTGACCTCTGTCTATCACTGGACATCTTGGTGAAGTTATTTCTTGGGAAACTTTTAAAGAGAAAAAAAAAAAAAGGAAAGAAAGGGGGAAAAGGAAACATTAAGCCTAAGAAATAAACCCATGGCATTTTCTTTTCTTGAAATTCAATTAAAATTGTATTTTAATGAAAAGGCTTCAAAACTGTTTACACTTATCCTACACCAAGGTTACAGGAGAGGTGATGTGTCTAACGCCAGCGTTCTGGGATTCACCGAACTCAAGTTAAAAACCACTCTTTTTTTTTTTTTCCCCCCCAATTCCATCCTTTGGACAATCTATCAATTGTCTACTTTATCACAAGGCATGAGACAGAATTGCCAGGGAACTTAGGCAACGAGCAGTAGTAACATATGACACATTGTAAATATCACATCTCACTAAAAAATGTTTAAAAGTCACTAATAACGTCTAAATATTTACACACTGACATTGGTCAAAGCCACCAAATTCCCTTTCCGACAGGAAAACATACCCTGTTTATAATCACCCATATGCTTATTTAACGTGGCGATTCTTCCTCTGTGCACGTAAGGCTTTAAACACAAACACTAAGAAATTTAAAAATCAACTAACAAGCTGCTCTAGCCGTTTCCACGGCCAGCAGCGAAGATTCATCCGGCCAAGAGCGAGCTGCCACCCTGGGAAAAGCAGAATCCAAACTGCACCTTCTGCAAAGCCTTCAATGCCACCGAGGTTCCTCGCTCAATTTTTACATCATGGACCGACATTTTGTCCAAAATAACGAGGGAAAGAAAAAAAAAAATCCAAGGAAAAACAAACAAACAAACAAAGCCCCAAGAAGTGCAACAAATTTCCGCGCCCGCGGAGGCGAACCGCGGTCGGCGGCGGCGGCCACGCAGCTC